ATGCGATATAGTGATGACCGTTGGACCAGGGCGGTTACTGACTGGATCCCTGAGGACATCAAACGAACTCCAGGAAGGCCGCCAACGAGATGGTCAGACTTCTTCACGAAAGCTCCGAACGAAAGGAATGTTGAACCTCGTGTCCCTGAAGCGAGAACGATTCACTGGACCACTCTGGCTCGGGACAGGGACGAATGGAGACGTTACTGGCGCCCGCTCGAGGAAATCGATGATCGACGGGACGACAGGTGATACAGGTGATTTTTCTAGGTCAACCAGATGTTCCTTAATCCCGTATACTGAAGGTCTCCCGTTTCCGCCTGTGCATTCCTCTACGCAGAGGTTGCATGTGATCAAATAGATAACACCGAACGTCGTGCAGTCATCCCCTCGCCCGTTGGGACAGATGGCACAATGGGGGTAATGCAGAAACGGTCGTAGAGGCGGTTGTGGACCAGTCTCTCCTTAAATTTGTAGGAGGAGCTTCAATCACCCGGACCGTATCATTGAGATCACACTTTCGCAAAGCCATTCTCACATCTGAACTGACCGAGTCCGACACGAAATGCAGGCAGAAGGGGACCTTCTCCGAATTTTCAGTTTCTAGCTCATGTAGTTTTCTCCGGGTTGATCTTCCAGAGCGCTGGTCCCTCAGTGGATACACATTTAAGAGAGCCACTCTTCTGGCATGCTCCACGGAATCTACTTGTTCTTAATCACCCGATGGACCGTTCTCGCCGTCCTAACCATATTGGCCCTGACGGCCCGATTTTTGTGTGGATGCGCCGACCTGAAATGAACTAAAACATTCTTGCTGGCGGGTTTCCTTAGCCATTTTGTAAGCCGGTATCTCCTCCCCGATTACTGCACACGTGCTCGCTGCTCACCTCGCGGAAAGGCGATGGAAGATTAGAGCGCGCAATTTGTGAATTAGAGTCCTTTAATTATTTTAATTTGCTGTCCGCTCCCTTCAATTCCAATACGGTCTTGATCGTCGACAATATTATATATGTGGGAGGAGTAATTCCAAAGAGTCAAGTCTAATAAACATGAAAACGGGACTTGAATCGGAAAGATAAATGCCTTGCCTCAAGCTAACAAACTAACAAGCTTCACCCGTTCCTCGATCTGTGTGGTTTTTGATTGCCACCGGCGGCAAGCTAGTAGTCAGGGCACTCAGGGCCCACCCATTGCGAAAGACTTATGTAGAGAGCCTTCTTTTGAACACCTAAGGTGGGTTACCTGTTGTGGTTTGCAAGACCTTTTTTAGATATCTATGGGCCACATGTGAACTATGCTGAAGTCTATACGTCGTTTGATCAGGATGAATCTCAAATATTATCTGGCTTCCAAGCTCTGATGAAGGCGACGGCCGAAACGTTAGCCGAATAAAATGTAATATCTTGGCCGAGGCTTCAGGGAAGAACACTTAAGGCTGCGTACATTATTTCCAAAACACAAGCCTACAATTCTACCAAACCAAACTCCATTGTTGTTAAGTTCAGGAAGTCAGTGAAAGGACTTTTTCCTGGAACAATGGTACCCACAGGTACGTGACAGTAGCGTACTTTAGGAAAGGAAGCGTAGTCTGATGGGCACACCTCGTTTAAAGGCGTATTCGCTGTGGTGATCCTTTTTGATCGTAGCTCGAGATGGTAATGCGGAACTCGAGTTACGCCCTAGGTTTTGAGAGGTTAAGAAGGTAGGGCAACAGGGTTTTCGTAGAGCCAACGATAAGGGAAGTTCCAGCTCCAACAGAGGACGAAATCTTGTACAAGGCAGCAATCTTGTGATAAAGTTGATATTGATTGAATAACGTCTTGGAGATCATCAGCTCAAAAGTAATGTTTCTGTGTGCAAAGGTAGTGGAAGAAGAAAATCTCACTCTTGATTGTCATTAGCTGCATCAGAAGCTTGTTTCTCATTTTTGCGGGTTCTTTTAGTGTAACCGATGCGATCGCGGTCATTTTGAATAGCTGGAATAAAAGATGAATTTCAACCTCCATGCGTTAATCAACCGAGTAGTTCGTACTTACATTTTTTGTCCATTCCTACAAGAAGACACTTTTTGAGACGGCAGTGACGGCAGGCGCAACGCACTCCTGCATATTCGTGATAGATAAACTAGTGAATGATATTTGAATAATCATACATGACACGAATAATCAAATATGACAAAAGTACCATTTTGATAAAGGGTACTTGAGCTTCAATACTCGCTATGTCAAAGGGTGTCTTACCATCCTGCGTCGAAACGTCTCGCAATGAACAAACGAACATTTTCATAACCCAGGAATAATACAAAGTTACCCTAACAGTGAAGTAATGCTTTTGAGATCCTAGCAATAGTGGCGGTCAGAAGGTAAAAAGATAGAGATACTGTTCTACATAGAGCTAATTTTAGAAACCCATACAGACATTGCCCAGAATGTATCTGCCAAATGTCCCCATGAACACTTCCCTCATAAATTTATATGCAAACTTTCGAAACGTTACAGAAAAAAGACGGAAATTCCGCGGGATTACCAGCAAATATTAGGTTGTCGGAAAAGTCACTGCGCATTTTGGTTTCCATGTTGTGAAATCTTTGGAGATCGCTTTTGGACGTTCACTGCGAAACATATGTAAGTGCAGGTCAATGCACTCTTGACACTACATCTGCCGTGGTATTTCGCTACGATCATGGCTGGAAGAATAGCTTTCGACTTAAAGGAACTTACGATTAAAATGCTTCTGCTTTACAAGTTCAGAAAAAACGTCAGTCCAAGTAGTGTGAAAAGGAATTTACGTGGTGAGATGGGACCCTCCACTATCTCTTAAAGCACAACAAGAAATCAGCTCCACAAGTTAAAAGATGACCACCTTGATCAGACCAGAATGAATACCAGCTGAGCCCAATGACACCACTTTCGGAAACTAGTCGAAGAGGATTCCAGGTGTAGTACCCGCGGATTGGAACAGTATTCGCATCGCCTCGGAAAGACAACGAGATAGGAAGTATGGATAAATTGTAAGCTGGGTGGTCACCACCCATAAATGAGAAGAGATGCTTGCCTGAACTTGTTGACATGCATGGCTGGAAGACTCAATCACTCGTTACGAGAATTGTGCTCCCTCGTAAACCAGAGGAAGCGCTAGTGGTTTGGGCGCGCAGAGCATGGAATCCCGACCCTCAAATCAGAACTCCGACTTAAGAAGGCAATGCTAGGCGTTTGGAGCCATTCGAAAGGATCGTTCACTGGAACTTGCCACCAAGCTCCACTGTCAGCCTACTGTACTCTGATGGATCGGGTTGCTGCAGGTTTATGCGAGAAACAGTAGAAAGCCCGTGGAAAGTCCACTTTTCTCACGACAAAGCGGGCCGACACATTGTGAGACTCAGAAGTAACTACAAAGCCTAGGATGGCATATTCTACCCACCCACCGCATTCAACAGGACTAGCTCCAACAGAGTATCTTTGTTCCTGTCGCTATGAAACCATTTCGAGATGAGAAGTTCGATTATATGCACCAACTCGAGACGTACATCGGAGAGTTTTTCTCGTCGAAATCTCAGGAATTCTGTGCCACAAGCCACAAATCGCTGATAAATGGCAATACCTTGTTAATAATGATGGTGCATGTATTTGTTGATTGCTGGATATGGCGATTGAAATAAGTAAACTTGAAAAAAAAANAAAAAAAAAGCTAAATGCGCAAGACTCTCCCGACAACCTGGTACTTTCCTGAACCCAAGTAGGTTTCACAATGATCTAATGGACAGAAGAAACAGTAGTGTAAAAATTATTTCAGGTGCGCAACTCAACTAAGTTGGTGTAGACCACTACCTAACCAAAAGCAAGTTCTCCTAAACTGCTTTCTTACCTTTGTTGACAGGACAGTCGCCGCTTCCCATACATGTGAACATACGATTATTCTGAATAAAAAGGAAAAGTTAGAACGCTAGTGGTGGCTGAAACAACACTTCAGAACAGATAAAATTCCGGAAATCTTACAACAACTGCACGGCGAAAGAAAGTTTTGCATCCATTACAGGAAGGAACAGAGTAGTGATTCCCGGTTGCGATATCTTCACATACCACACACAAAGTTCCTTGAAAAGAATGATTCTTGTTGTTGATTAGATATTCTCCTCTAGGAATAGCTCTTGACCATAACGTTCGAGTAACAAATGAAAGTTTTTTATTGCTGATTAGTGTATTCATCCTACTTCAAAACAACTACTATAATACTACCACAATTGCTCTTGGTTCTGTACATTCTGTACAAACATAGGCAGGAACCAAGAGCAGAGGTTTTAAATAAGGAAAGACTACAAATGATTATAGCGATATCATATGGCTACCACCTTGGATCTGAAAAAGGATGGCTCTCAAATGAAGGGACAGTTTGAAATGAGACTTTTACAGCTAAACACATTTTAGAACGCTGATTTCGAATCTGCGAGTAAGTCGTACTAAAAACGATCCTCTCAGCGCTGCTATGAAGGCGATTTCAGGCGAAGGCTAAACTTAAACGACATAAATGTTCAGACACCGGGTTCTACAGGGATGCGATTTCTGTATTTTAGCAGTTTTCTCCTCTAAAAACGAGAACACTTTTCATTCTGGTTTACCGCCTACGGCGACCTACTCTGTGTTTGAGAAGATTCAGTTTTTACCGAAACCATACAATAACACCACAATCTCCTGGCTTGCCTACACACACCACATTCGCAGTGAGATCTTTGAAGGGTACCACCTTTCACAACTACATTTGCATTTTTGCTGATGGCCGCCTAGGGAAAAAGCTGTCCGTGGAAAACTTTCCTGAAGCTGAACTTGATAGAAGCCCTCTGTGGAGAAGGTTATCCATGTCCTGAGAAGGACATCTTTCCGTTTGCGGGATTCGAAAGCCACGATTACGTAACTATCCAATCTGCACTAACTTGACAAAAACAACTGAAGGTAGCAATCATACTTTCTAGTATCATGAATACAGCACTGGACGCCTATTTCTTTTGCCAATCAAAAAATTTCTTAAATGCTTAGTAACTTATGATCTAAACTTATGGTGTACTCGAGACAAGTTCTCTGCTCACAATCCCTTGGAAATCCAAAACTCAAAAATTCTATATAATATGCTAAACCAATCAAAATGTGCTCCTGTAAAGCTATCAATACTATGATAATACAGTGCGTTTCATAACTATAGGGTCACCCAAAATTTTGCACTTTCAAGAAAAGCAATCATTAAGGATTTTTTCTAACATCATGAACGGATTCCCCAGCACGAATAACCTGAGTATCCGTAGTTTAGTAGCAGCCGCATTTTTCTGTGTTTTTCTAGAACAGTTTATCGGTTTTTGCACCGTTTCATAATTATAAGGTCACCCTGAGAAAGTGAACAATTATTCATGGAAGAGAGGAAATTTCGAGTTCAAAGATACTTATAAAGGTAAGCATGCGTAGCAAATGCATTTCTAAACCTGACTGTCAAAATGGCTTGTGGCCGTCTGCTTTCCTTTGATGAGAAGGTTCATCATGAAGCTGAGCTCAGTACTCGAGCCATCTTCAGTCAAATAGATCCCCTCGTCCATTCAAAGATCCCTGGAGAGCCCTGATGTCCCTAGATATAACACCGACTGTGGACACCCTTGAAAGGTTACTGACCGTGACGAGCGGAAGATTCTGAAGACTGTTTCCAACAGCACGTCCTCCTCAACCAGATCCGATCGGAATTAAACCTCTCTGTGTCGAAAACTACAGTCTGGAGAGCAGTAAAAAGATGCGAGGACGTCACCAGACAAACAATGGAGAAGGTGCCACGAATCACCGATCGCCACAGAGAGGCTCGTCTCAGATTTGCAAAGATGAACCTAGGGAGAGATTGGGAAAGGTAGATCTGCATCAAAATCTCACCATAGAGCTGAATAATTTCCATTCAGGTCGTCTTTTCGGATAAAAAGAAATTCAACCCGGACTGTCCTCACAGAAACAAGCGATACTGGCGCGACTTGAGGAAGGAACCAGTCTACTTCAGCGGTCGCAATTTCGGTGGAGGAAGTTTATGGTGTGGGGTGCATTCTGCAATGATGTCGTGTTGGATCTACCTGTCGTGAGCTGCAGTATGGATTCCAAGGATTACCAGAACGTCTTGGAGCATCATCTAGTAGCCTTTCTATGCCATCGCCGTCACCTCTACTATGTCTTTCAACAAGACAATGCCTCCATTCATTTGAGCCGTGCAACGGATGAGTGGCTGCAAGGCCAATAAATAAGTGTCCTGCCATGACCAGCCTGCAGTCCCGATCTCAATCCGATGGAACATATCTGGGGTATAATAGTCAGACAGGTTTATGCGAATAACCGTCAGTTCCAGGGCACAGAAGAGCTGAAGCGGGCGATAATCGAAGCATGGAGAGCAATCGATGAGGAACTCTTCGAAACCTAGTTTCTAGTATGCCACGCAGACTCTTTGATGTTGCTCTTAAACAAGGAGGAGCTATAGAATATTAAGTGTTGTGCATATGCCACCGACGTTAATAAATCATTTACTTTCTCAGGGTGACCTTATAATTATGAGACGGTGCAGAAGCCGACACTATCTTTAAAAAATTCATAAAAAATTTGAGGTGAAGGATGTTGCGACCAAAATTTGAATACGGAGGTACATTGTGATGAGGAATCTTCCTGTGTTTGCCAAAAAATTCCATTCCGGCTGCTTTCTCCAGAATCGGAAAAATCTGGGGTGACCTTATAATTATGAAACGCACTGTATTATAGATGGCCAACAGATCGCAACTAATTGGTGCCACGTNTGGAAATAATATTTATAAACAGGTGAAAGGAGTGTCACAAAAGGCAACTTCAGTCCTCTTCCGGTAGATCTGACCCTTTCAGCGATGGAAAATGATGCTCGAAAGATCAAAAATTAAATAAAAATAAGCTTTATCCCGTTCAGATATATAAACGATTTCTTAATAGTACATAACCAAATCGTAACAAATATTGAAGAGCGTTTTCAATATATAGAAATAAATAGTATAACTAATAATAAAAATTGTACCAAACCAACATCCTGCCGATCCGACTGCTATTTCAGTAACATCACCAATCTAATTAGTGTAATTCCAAAGGTGTACAGCAGTAAGCTTTACCGACAGTATAACTTCATGTTCTTTCTGTCCCTGATTTGAATAATATACATCCACCCACCCCCTTTTTCAGCCAACCGCAAACCACTGATAAGGTGGAGACGGTGGTTCATCTGGTGAAAAATCGAAACGAGACAACTTTATCGTGGCTACTTTGTCCTTTGATGTGTTTGCTAACTGTTTTTTGCATGCTCCACTGACTTCAATTTGTTACACTTTACTTATGGGAGCCGAATCGCGTCAAGCATCAAAAACATCGAAAAGGAAGGTGATGAAATCACCATACAAATGTTTCCAGGTCCTCGAAGAAGCAGCATCGCATGCCGTCTCCCACAAAACTAGATCTACGGTCTCATGCATTGTGGACGGCTCACCAATCCTTTACAACACAGTTGTTAGCAATCTTACGTCATGTTTTTTTTTTTGATTCGTTTATGTTAAGCACCCATCTTCATAACTTCGTTCATGTAATCGATGAGCTAATCTGAGAGGCAAATTCGAAATGAGAGCTTGGAAATAACTTGCATCTGCATCAAAGATATAACATCAAATTGTCACTTCAAGTTGGGATCCCTCCCTTACGTGTCCCTTAAGTACGTGGCCTTACATTTCTTCGTGCTTTGACATCAATATCCCTTCTGACCAAGGGTCAGTCGTAGAGCGATTTGTTTTCATTTTTAAATGTAGGCGCTCACAATCAGATAGCAGACGTACTGGTGTATGTATATAAAAAGAAAATTCATAACCGTTATCGAATAACCGTTATCGCTGCAAATATTGAAAAGAAATGCTGCGAGAAACAGAAACCTGTGAATTCTTCAGAACCAAAGCACGTACCTGGAGGCAACTTTTCTGTCATGATTAATTATAGTTGCAACTGAGAGTGAAATTTCATTGAGAGAGAATAATTCCTCAAACGTGATGCATGAGTAAACTCTTTGGTAGAAGACACTAAAAATAACGTCAGTACCACTAGTATTACGGGCCAAAAAATGTTTCATAGAAAAACGCATCGATTGGTACCCTAACATCTGTTGATCGAAAATCAGGCGAGAAGAAAAAAAGGACAGCAGCCGTGAGCGAAATCCGATTAAGAAAAATTGGTCGAATAGTCTCACAACACGGTGTCACATGACGTAAATTCAGTCGAGTATCAGATAGAGGAGACCCAGGTAGGAAGGTAAAAATCACCAGCCGTTCGGAAACTACAAATAAGAATGGACCAAAATGAGAGGCGGTAGGTGGAAAGGGCGAACGCCCCAGAAGGTCAAGAAACACAGCTCGTCCGTATAATCATCTGTAAACAAGCAACAAAAGGGGTTATTTGTGAAGTAAATTCCTGCAACCCAGTGAATGTAACGCCAAATCGGTACGGTAGGCAGTACGTACTTACCCTACCAGCGATTTTTCGTGACGTTGGCGCCGATCACCGTCGTAAAATAGTACGCTATGGCAAGGAGCACCCATACGGGTAGACCACAAGAATCACTATGGAATATGCTCGGGCCAAAATAGTCTTCTAGGGGGAAGTGAGTCTTCTAGGAGTCTTTTTCCTTTCGCCCGTTCGCTGTGCCTGCTTACAGTATGAGCCATTGATATGCGAATTACCCGAATCGATCGACGGTCGACCCAACGAAAAACACGCTGCTTTCATAGTTCGCGATTTGGCCCGCGAGCGAGCGGGCGACCAGGGGACTACTCGTCCGGCGGTATCGACCAAGNTTCAGTTGTAAATAAAGGGCAAGCGCCGCCCCCAGTCGCTCGCTCGCGGGTCAAACCGCGGACTATGATTACCGATTTACCGCGATTTACCAACTTCGTACAGATATCCCCATACCACCGGTATAGATTTATTTTTTAACACCGTGTGAAACTTATTTGATCACCTTAATCCAGATCCAACATGTTAGGTGTACGACTGTGACCTACACCTGAAACTGAGTCACCTAAACTGTCCAATAATTTAACCGAAGCACTTCGTTAAGAGCGAATCCGCAGGAAAAAAAGATCAGGGTAGCGACATTTCCAACGCCAAATGCGTTTGCCCATAACGAATCCTTCTACTGTTCGTAACTATCGATATTCTACTTGTGTAGAACTGCCAATACAGAAACGAAATCAAATAAAAATGAGCCCCACAAGGAGGAAACGAGGGAAAAATAGGGTGTCAAAATACCATCTGTCCGAAAAGGGACGATTATAAAGTTGACTTAAGAACCTTCCCACCTCCAAGAGCTATCGAGGTAGAACGAAGTGCAGAAAACTGAGTACAGGGGAACGGAAAAACGCGACAGGAAGCCATTTGGAACGGCAAAACGAGAACTACGGATTTAATGTGAAGAAAAGTGGAAAGTTCACGCCAGAACAGATGAAATAAAACTTCCCGAGTGAGGTGCTCTTCTATAATCAAAGTCGATGAAGAGCTGCCTTCTCCCGACGTTACTGAGACCTAATGAGAGGTGACGTTTTGCTATCTTGATAGATGAAGCTAATGACGTTAGGATAGCAGGTGTAGATTTGCGCGAAGGCACCATTAGTCCATAAGTGAGGGCAAATGCGTTGCCTTGGCAATTGGTGTATCGCAGGCCATTGCTCAATACGTCAACTAGATGTACTTGTGACGACATATTAGGAGATCGTGAGTTTGACAGAAGAAGAAAATAATAACGAACCAACGCGTTCACCATAGCTAGCAGGAATTTGGATGTAAATATAAGGGACGCAGAACACCAAAAAGTCATTACAGGTAAAAAAAATGTAAAATGAAGAACCGCAGGGTGACAGGGCGAAGAGTGTCCGATGTGGGAATAGAGCGCGATGCGCGATTCGCCCACAAGCTGTCGTGGTGCGTGCGTGCAATCGATCCAGTGCTTCTAGGCGCATGATGTAGAAGTGCAACTCCCTTTTCATGGCGTTCGTCACCTTTGAACAAGGTGTCCTACTGCTGCGCCTAGCCGATACCTGACTCTACTGCTCGTCCTTTTACCGTGCACACATACACATCTCATTTAGAACCTGGGACTAATGATATGACAGACTCATCTTTTTTGAAATTCATTTCCAACAGAGAGTATATGAAGGAAATTAGGTCTACCAATGAGCCTAGAACACAAAACCAAAGGTTCACCCAAACCTGCTCATCTGCGGACGCAACAATCACCATTCTGCACTGAGCGGAACAGTCACCGACATTCAAAAAAGGCGCGATATCGCCAAGGAAAAACGTCATTGTTGGAAAGGTTTCAACAGTAATCACTCAAGCAATCAATGCAGCAAGCCTAGCTGTCCCAGCTGTGTCCAGAAACATCACCAAAGCATATGTCTGGCGAGCAGACCAGACGGCATCAATGTCAGAGCCACACCGGCAAATCCCAGGCCAGCAAAAAATGAGTCTAATCAACCAAACTATGGCTGCAGACTACAGCAGTCTGATACTAGGCCTTGAAACCGTTATAGCAATGATGCTAGTAGAATACGACAGACAACACACTGGTCAGGTCACTCAATTTGAGCAGGATTACGAACGCTCTACGATCGACACCGAGAAAAATGAACAAATGGTTCCCATGACAGCAGAAGACAACCTCTGGAATGACAGAAGCAAAAGATTTGGGAAAGTGCTCTTCTTCTCCGATACTGGAGCTCACAAAACCATAATTGAAGAAAACTAGCAAACGATTTTGAGCTCCCCAAGCTCTCCACAGAGACCTCCATAATGTCAGGCATCGGAGGACACGTAAAACGGTTCGATAGCACAACTGTGCCCCTAAAAGTTCAAACCGCATACGGGAAAGATGTGCGTTTCACTGTACAAACCAAACCGGTCATAACTGGAGCATTCCCTTCAGTCAAGTTAACTCAACAGGACGCCCATTTCCTCGAGCAGCGCTAAATCTGCATCGCAAATTCAAAGTTCCAAGGAGAACAGCAAGTCCTCAAAATTTTAGTCGGACTTGACCTGACTTGATATTCTGACTTAGATATAGAATATGAGGTTCCTCGGAGCACACCTTCAAGATTGCATATTGCAAAAACCCTATACGGGACAGCAATTTATGGTCGCGGCAAGCTAGACAGTCCAGCAGAATGTCAGCCTATTTCCTACGGATTGACCGCTATTCATGAGGGCTCAGAGAGTCAAATGTTAGAGAAACTCTTTGAACTTGTGGGTCTCTGAATTTCTTCCTATGATTGTACTTCACGGTAAAGTTCAGCAGTATTTCGAAGACTACTCAAAGTCAATATCGTTTGATAATGACTAGGTCACAGCACCATTTTCCCTAAAATGCAATGTTGCGCAACCAGAAGACAACTATTCTGTCGCTATCAAACAGCTGGCATCTCTTTAGAATCATTTGAAAATGCACCGTTATTAAGGACTACGAAAACCAAGGAATCATTGAACGAGTTTCCGAAAAAAGATCAAGATGCTGTATACATACAATCATCGGAAGAAATTCAGAGACCCACAAGTTCGAAGAGTTCCTCTAACATTTGACTCCCTGAGCCCTCATGAATAGCGGTCAATGCGTAGGAAATAGGCTGACATTCTGCTGGACTGTCTAGCTTGCCGCGACCATACATACACATACTATATGCCTCATTCAGCCGTGTGGCGGCCCCGCAAGGCAACACCCCTGAGGATAGTATTTGATGCCTCATCTAGGAGAAGGTTGCAGTTTTCGTTGAATGATGTTATTCACAAAGGCGAATCATTCGTGAGCAAAATCGATGACATTTTCATTTCAAGTCGCTTCAGCAAATACTTGTTACTCTGCGACATCGAGGCCGTGTTCACGCAGATTAGGCTTGAGGACGTACACAAAGACTTATGTCGCTTTCTCTGGGTAAAAGATACCACTAACCAGAGAAGCGTTACAACTTCCCATGGAACTTTGAATAGAGACCTAGGTATATCGATAGGGTTTGGAAAGTTATAAAAATATGGGAATTGAAACTGTCAAATGAGTCTACCAAAAAAGTTGTGTGCGTTCAAAGTTTGTATGTTAAAGCATGGAGGGGTAGTGCCAGTTGATAGGCCCAGTTGCCCACAAGGGCCACAAGGGTCCCCGTGGCGTAGGGGCAGTGCTCTCGCTCTCCAGGTGAGCGATGAGGGTTTGATCCTCGTTGTAGTTTTTGCTTTTGCAAAACGTGCTTACATCCGGATAAAAGCTCCCAAACCCGCTCGGTGTTGTTGGTCCTCTACTAATTGGACTGAAATCGCCAAAGAGGGGCGTCTTTACCAAGCAACCAAGTTGAGATGACTGCATCTCTGCAGAAATCCACAAAAAATGGAATACGTTATGTGCAGCAGTCATCAAGGCTGGCATAGCAATCCCCAAAATACTCAGCGCAAAAAAATATCCTTCTGAAAGATGCTCGTCTATGGGTCTTCCAGATGCAAGCAAGGAAGCAATAGCGACATATTCTTACAAAGTTTTTCAAGACAAAACGACATCCCCTCTTGTAGGTGGAAAAACCAAGTTGTCGCCAAAGAAAACACTACAGTCCATTCCCAGGTTGGAACTTTTGGGGATACTTACTGCTCTTCGTCTCGAATATTCTATCCTAGGAACGAATAACTACCTACCTCATTAGAGAAGTAACAATCGTGAGTGATAGCGAAATAGCACTGTGCTGGTTAAAGCAAACCGAAAACTGCCACTATTTGTAGCAAACCAACGCGACCGAATCACGGCATTAAAAACTAGCATTGAAGACAAGAAATGCAACTTGCAATTCATGCATGTGCCCACCAACTTAAACCCCGCCTATGGCGGCACCAGAGGACCGAGATCCGAACAAATATGCGACCATATGTGGATCCAAGGCCCTGAATGACTGTCGAACAGTAAGACAGCAACGTTGTTCAGGCCAATAGATTAAATTACAGCCCAAGAAAATGAAAGCAATACAATTCACGTTGAGCTGACAAATGCCACAACATTCAGTCAGAATCAAAACGAAACGTTTATTAACGTACGTCGCTTTTCGTCCCTGGAAGTATTGCTACGTACAGTAGCCAGAATAGGGGAGTGCCTTCTCAATGGTTCAATCGCACCAACGATAGAAAAGTGGTCCAAATCAAACTCTGCTGGGCAAACAGATTCGAAGTAGAACCACAGATACCGGCCCATGATATTCGAACAGCAGAAAATACAATAATACAGAGATTCATGAAGGAATAGACTGCAAAGAACTACAGAAACGATTCGTCATCACAAAATCATGCGAGATTGCGTTGGGACCATTAGACATGCATCGAGGCTGCAGAATTCAGTGCTACCCCTAGACGCGGTTTCACCCATAGTTTTACCTCGCGATGTACCCTTCACGACACTGGTCCTGCAGGACATACACAGATCTAATGCACACTGTGGTAAAGAGCATGCACTTTCATTGCTAAGAAATCGATTCTGGCTACCGCGCCCATCGAGCTTAATTAGAAAGATCAACGACAATTGCACTGCTTGCAAGCGTTTTCAAGGGTTACCTTTCGGAGCTCCAGAAATGTCAGCATTCCCGAACGATAGAGTTAGAGCGGACTTTATAGGTCCACTTATATCAAAAGTAACGAAAACATGTTTGTCTATCTCTATACCTGCCTTACTCGCGCTGTGCACCTGGAATTTGTATAATAGAAAGGAGCGTTTCTCAACAGTCTCGTCCGTTTTGTCTCAAGACGCGGTGTACCTTCACTCATTGCGATTGCGGCTCTAACTTCGAGCTCGGCTCGAAAGTGATCTCCAAAATGTTTGAAAACAGCAACAGCAGTGATAGCTCTTTGATGTCATACTGTGCTTCTGTCGGTATCGGATGGATCTTCAACCCTCCAGCAAGTCCAGTAGACTCTCACGCTTACATAAGCAGTTATTATGTTTCGGCGATTATTCGAATTCCTAGCCTTATTAATATCAGACGTTATGAGCATCATTGAATGCCTCTATACCATTTTGGCATCTGTAGGGATCCTTCCGTCTCCAATGATCGTCGCGAAAGCTGCAATTGTCTTCGCGCCACATCCAACGGGGGAGGGAGTTATGGGGGAGGGGCTTATTCCTGTTAGGTTCGTGTCAAAATGCGGTCCACGCCTGAGCATATATTACAGTTCTCATAACTGTACAATAGGGTGAGCCTGTGTGGACGATTGGGAAGGTGCTCAGGAAATTCGTAGTAGCCTTTACCTCTGAACAACCTTTACTATCAGAGAACCCGGAAAGTTTTGAGGAAGTTTTGCCTTTCAACTTCGAAACTCTGTAGTCTTCACAGAACTGCCTCTGGTCCTCAAAGCATTTCCAGTGAAGAACCTCGACTCATAACTTTAGCAANCCCAGTCAATATCCTAAATATCATACATACATGATATCACTTCCTTCGTAAGGCGTAAAGCTTAAACTTTGGTTCCCAAAGGCTGGGTGGGGCACATTAGATAAAGTGGCCTACCCTGCCTTGATGCATAACTTCCGGGTATAATTATCCTGAGCTTTTTCCAGCTGATCCACGTTTTTTTCCGAGAGGAAAAAATCGAAGCAGCGCTTCCAACAATGGGCCGTACGCTTTGTGTTTCAATTGTTTATGTGTTTGAGTTAAGACATCCCTTAGAAATCTGGTTCGAAAAGTAGCTTTCTTAGCCTCATAGTGGTCAGAGAAACTGAGTTTTTTACTATAATGGAAGAGAATGTCCCTGGCAGCGGAGATCGTTGAGACAGTGTTCTCGGAGTTTGTAAGCCGCAAATCCTCATGAACACTGTCTTTTCAGGAGCCAGAGGTAAACACCATAACTCAGACCACTTCAAGATGGAATTCAAAGAACATTTACTACACTTTATGTCTTCAGTGCCCTCAATTTTCCTATATACTCTAACGTCGCCCGCGAATGCTTGCACACCAACCCACATCCCTCTAGAAGCTGGGCAGCTCAGCAGTGTAAATAGCAAACGGAACACCCTTGAGAATACCGAGCTAATTCTATCCTGAAGCGCCCATATAATTTTCTATTCACACGCATATCACTGGATGAAACTTGAGCCGAAGCAGCTGAAAGGCACACTTTACAATTATTTTGAGGTACCCATTTTATAATAAGTCGAAGAGCGTATGTAATGATCGAGGGTAGTGCATCGGCGGCAAAGAAAGCGAGAAAATCCGTCATTTTCGTGAGATCAAAGGCTCTATAAAAGTAGTGAAAATAGGAGTTACACGAGATATTACGAAGGAAATGGCATGGAAGGGTTATTCGGACGAGATTTCAACTGTTGCAATCACGCAAGGATCTGGCTATATCCAGCCAATATTGTTCAAATCAGTCTTCCACTGTCGCCATGGATCATGACAAGTTGTTTGAACTTCCTAAATGGGTTCCTCGTGAACTACGCAATCTCTACAACGTTGCTAAAACTTGTCTGCTGTGGGGTGGCACTCGCACGATACAATGTCTGGCTCCTTATTGTGCTCTATCCAGGACGTTTTTCGACCTGACATGGGCACTTATGGTATCAGTAGGTTCCCCCGATGGGGAAATATCAGAAAACATTTTTATCGTGAACTCTGCTTTCGAGCGATAACTCAAAATAATCAACCTTATCAGGCCAAGAGAAATCAAAGTAGACCATGTCAGAAGCTTTCTTGTTCTCAAGATAATTTGTCCCATCGTTTAAACATTCTAAGGGAT